ACCCTATAAATATGTATGTTTAATACATTTAAATTAAAAAGTAAATTTTAAAAAATGTGTAAAGGAAGAAGAAGAGGTAGAGGCTAGACAGCAACAGCTTCAGAGAAAGAGTGACAGAGAGAGCACACTGTCACGTGGGACGGTGGTCAGTGGGAGAGAGGTCGAGGAAGAGAAATGAGTGAAAGACATGGGAACTGAGGGTTAGACCTTCATCTGGGCCTTCTGGAAAGAGAAGCCTGCTGTACTGAACAGAATATAATGGTAACTGAGCATCAAGAAGTGTGTGGTGAAAGCAAGTAAGGGGTAGTTTGGTATTTTGAGGTCTTTGAAAAGCTACTTTTAGGCTAAATATTATCTGGCGATGCTTACAGGAAATAAGCCAATGACGAAGGAGAGGATGGAGACATAATTTTAAAAAAGGGCAGAAGTGGAGGCTAGCTATTGAGGTAAAATGACCTAGCGGAAAAAATATCAAAATAATTTATTTGTTCATCAAATCATTATTGAAGTACTACAGGACCACATTTCAGGCACTGTGAGCAGTTGGCCTTGATGTTTTCAATCAACCTTACCTACTCTCTATTTAGAACACATTTGAGGTGTTTGTTCATCAGTGATTAAGACTGAAACTGAGATATATTAGTATTGATAGGAAGGTTCTCAAAGGACGGTTCTGAAGATTTGGAAAGCATAAGACCAGATGGAAGAAAAACAAGGTAAAAGAAGATAGAAATCAATTTATTAATATCTGCTAAATGGCTCAATATCTTATGAAATATCTGAACATTTCCATATGCTTTGTTATGGTACCCAGGGCTGGCCAGTTAGCTCCCTTGATTAGAGTGGAGTGCTAATAACACCAGAGGCAAGGGTTCAGATCCTCTTACTGGCCCACTGCCAAATATATATATATATATATATATATATATGANCCCACTGCCAAATATATATATATATATATATATATATGATATATGATATATATCAAGAGTTGGTAAACTACAGCCCACAGGCTAAATCCGACCTACTGCCTGTTCATGTAAATTGAGTTTTCTAGAAATACAGCCGAGCTCGTTTGTTTACATCCTGTCTATGGCTACTTCATGCTATAGTGGCAGAGTTGAATAGTTGAGTTACAGTAGAGCCTATACGGCCGACAGCCTTAATATCTGCTCTTTACTTTTGGCAGAAAAAGTTTGCTAACCCTTGATATACAGTGACAAAAGGGCGCTGCATCTTGGACAATAATCTTGCAGTTAAACTCTTCATACGAAAACCTTTATAGATACACCCAGAATATCGATTGTTTAGAATTTCCATTACTTCCTGTAAAAAGATTACACAGTGTAAATTACCATACGGATGTTCTTTGTTTTCTACCCTTCACTGCAATATAATTTGAGCCTGTAAGTTCAAAATGCTGAATGGCTCATGTGAGATTTTTCTTTATGTATATTTTCCTACCACATTCTACTGCGAATAATTTACACAATAGAAAAATTTGATTCCCTATTATGATATTTTTAATACTGGTTATTTTGTAATAGTGTTTGTTTAGTCTTTTCTTAAATCCCAGACTCTGTTTTCCTGACCTGACCACATTTTCACTCTGTTAAGAATACAATTGAGGGGCTGGCCCGGTGGCGCACTGCTACAGTGCGCCGCTTGGGAGCACGGCGGCGCTCCCGCCAAGCGTTCGGATCCCACATACAGACCGGTTCCCGCTCACTGGCTGAGCAAGGTGCGGGTGCAACACTGAGGGTTGCGATCCCGTTGCCGGTCCCGGTCTGGTACGGGCGCGACACTG